TGTATATTTGATATTATTATTATACGTATTAATACCATAATTTTATTTACTACTAGCTACGTTCGTGCGGTTTCACCCGGTCTGCTCGGCTCCTATTCATCGTAGCGTGATGTTTTCTAGTCTACAGCCTTCCTCGATAAATGGCCTATGCAACACAAAAATAATTTTCCAAATCTGACCAGTATTTCCTGAGATTAACGCGTTCAAACAAACAAACAAGCAGACAAACTCTTACTCTTTAATAATAAAAAAGTAATTAGTATAAGTTTTATTTTAGCTCCCTCCCGTAAGTCACACGATGGAGGTAGGTTCACGACACGACAGTCGCCGCGTCCGCGTCATTTGTTTTTTTTATGTAATATGAGGCAAACGAGCATACGGAATACCTGCTGGTAAGCGATAAGCGCCGCCCAGAGACACCCTCAACACCAGAGGAGTCACAGGTGCGTTACTGACCTTTTAAAAAGCAAATACGTTCGTCTAGGAACGCTGTTCATAAGCAGGAATATGAGTCCCTATCGTGGGTTTTATTTTTTTAAATCGTTGTCCCACACTAGGATTATCTCCAGTGTCGTGGGTGCGTTTACAAACATACAAGTTCACATACACAATGACATCCAGACCCGAAACAACAATTTGTGGATCACACAAAGTGTTGTTCCGTGCGGGAATCGAACCCGCAACACGTTGCACGGCAGCCGGTTGCCCAGCCACCGCACCAACCAGTCGTGGTTTGAAACTCTTCAAGTTTCCTCATCAAACAGTTACGTGAGTAAGCCATAATACGACACACGTAAAACATAATTAATCAATATAATTTTTTAAAGAATAATAACATTAGTAATTTTTCTTTTTCACTTTTTCTCTGGTACTATTGTAAATTATCTGTATTGTGGCAGTCATCTGAACAAAATCACGTCACAAAAGTACCGTTCCGAAACCAGTCGAGTTTGCACTGCTGACACAGTAATTATTGATAGGTTAATTATATTACAAGTCAATATGAACGAAATACGACCTTAATTCTTACATTTTAAATTTTATATAACTTTTTTATAGCATAAGCCGGTAAACGAGCAGACGGATCACCTGATTGTAAGCAATCGGCGTCGCCCATGGATACTCGAAACACCAAGGCGTTACAAGTGCGTTACTGGCCTTTTGGGAATTGGGAATTTGAGGATTGTGAAGGATTAGGGGATTCGGGAGACGGGGACTAGGGAGGGGGGTAATTAGGCCTCCCGTTACCTCACTCCCGTTACCTTACTAACACGACGAAACAGAACGCAAGCGTTGTTTCACGTCGGTATTCTGTAACGTAACATTATGCCTGTATTGGTTTATGAATGGTCAAAGGTACCCCAAACTTTATTTTTAATTCTACCAATAATCCTAGTTCCAGAAATGAAATTTTAAAGTCCTATATAGTTACATTTTGCAAGACTTTCTTTAATTTGTAATATATTAATGTACTAGCGACCCGCCCCCGCTTTGCGTGGTTGTAATATGTATGTATTACACATATAAACCTTCCTTAAGAATCACTCTATCTATTTAAAAAAACTGCATCAAAATCCGTTGCGTGGTTTTAAAGATCTAAGCATACATAGGGACAGACAGACGGCGGATAGCGACTTTGTTTTTTACTATGTAGTGATCTATGTATGAATGAATGTATGTGTGTGTGTGTGTGAAATGGAATCTTGCAACTAGATTTTAAAGCAGATATCTTCAACCGATTGAACTGAATTTTTTTATACACGTTTAATTTGCATGGCCATAGATGCTTAACTTAAAAGCTTTTCGCGATATATCGATATATAACTATAGATTCAGATATGTATCTCGCCTGCCTCGTTGGCT